CGGCCTCGGGGAGGAACTTCCAGAGGAGCACTCGACGCCGTCAATGGCCTCTTCACGGCGGGTCCAACTCAGCGCCTTCAAAGCGGAGCAGCTGCTAATTTGCCGAGTGTGCCGCTTTAACTCCTGACACAACACAAGTCTCTGTCACAAACCCCGCGGCGAGCGCGGATTTAAAATTTCAAAGCTCCCGCGGCCTCCTGCTCATTAGGGCTGCGTATTCACGTCCCCCCCCCCCCCCCCCCCCCCCCCCCCCCNCTGCGACAGGAGACAAAATAATTTACAGGTTCCGCATTACGGGCTTCGGGTAGTTTTAACGGTGTTTTCGGGGGTCACCGCTCTATGGTTTATGTTATGTCGGTCCGCGGTAGAAATAGACCGAAGGTAATAGAGACGCACCAAGCCGCATTTTCGAAAAATAAAAAGGGAAAAAGAGGAGAAAAACAAAAATAATTGGAAGAAGAAGAAAAATAAAAATAAATAAAATAAAGAAGAAAAACAAACAGAAATAAAAAAAAAGAAGAAAAACAAAAATAAATAAAAAAAGAAGAAAAACAAAAATAAATAAATGAAGAAGAAAATAAAAATAAATGAAAAAAGAAGAAAAACAAAAATAAATAACAGAAGAAGAAAAATAAAAATAAATAAAAGAAGAAGAAAAATATGGATAAATAAAAGAAGAAGAAAAACAAAAATAAATACAAGAAGAAGAAAAATAAGAATAAATAAAAAATAAGTAAGACAAAAATAAATAAAAAAGCAAAAAAGAAAAAATGAAAAAATAAAATGAAGAAAAATGAATAAAATAATAAAAAGAATAACAAATAACAAATAACAGTACTGAATTCTAAGTTGTGAATTTTCTCTTGATGAAGGTCGAAAATAATGCATTTGTAATTTGAAAGTAGTTGTTAAACTTGCTCTGTAACATTGAGTCTTATCGATAAATCAAACTTTAAAGTCCTTTCTTTTGGTACATGTTTGACACAACTTGATATTTTCTGTGCGATTCGGTTCAAAAGGACAGCGTACAAGGCAAACCGCACTGAGACAAAAAAAATGGGTTCGTATTGAACACCTAGGTTTTTCGGTTCAGGCACAGAGATTTCTGGGCACAGACACAGAAATTTGGTTCAGCGAACCTTAATTCGATTTCCGTGACCGAAAACTTTGGTTACCTGGGTATTAACTATAAAATATATATACTTATCGAAACCAAGTATCCTCAGAGACAGAGATTGAAAATTTTAAATCAGCCATCAATGGCCTTTACGAACCTTTGAAATTTAATAATTAAAGTCAAAGTGGCTGCTAATTTAGGGTTGTTGAAAGTTCACCTCCAGTTCTATTTGATCGAAAAACCAAGAGGGTCTATTCCGCCGTATTATAACGAATTAATAAGCAATTACTAAGAACTTGGTACCAATATGTATAGGTTATGAAAGAATCCCGAATCCTGATTTGGCCAACCGGGCTATCACTCTCAACAGTTTGTTTCCGATGCAAAACGACTGTAAGTTCCAGTTTTCGGGCGTGGAACTACGGATCATAACGTTCCCGAATTTAACTCTCCGAGATTTCCGAAAAGTGGTTATGTATCATAATACGAATGACATTTATTGAATTGAACTTTGAACTTAGTACTTCGTTCGCAATATAGTTTCTGCTTTTTAAATGTTCTCATGAAATTTCCAACCGCTATCTTCGCCCTCACTCGGCCATGAAGCAGGAAACTTTGTAGATCAAGCTTTTATACGTGGATATTATTCAAACTTTCCAAAAAGCTCAAACTCGGCACTACCCGAAAGAGTCGTTTCTCGTCGCAAGACGGGGGCGCCGCCGCGTCTGTAGTTCACTAGCGAGGCGTTAATGATCGATTATCGATATTTGCCCTATTTGAAGCTGTGGCAAAGAATCGATTGTTAGAGTGTTCGTTGCGACACCCTGTTCATCGATCCTGTTCTATAGGTTTAAATGGCAGATCGATCGATATATCGCAAAGCACGCCTCGCCGCGCCACTGAGGGAACACTATAGAAACACCAACGCATGGAAACCATCTACCTCCGCACAGTGGATCGAGTCAATTAGAGAAGTCGGCATGAAATTTTTTAACAAAACTTAGAATTTCTGTGTTTATTTCTTCACATTTGAAAGTATAAGGGGTGATTATGAAAGGAAATTTCACGAGAAAACCAATGGAACCACTTTTAGAACCTCAACGTTGTGTATGAACGGAGTTATGAGCTTTTAAAGTTTCCAAATTTTATCCAACCTCCCCCCTGGGCTCGATTCAGTGTGCGCCGTTTGAACAGAATTGCCTGACCGTGAAAAAACGTAATAACGAGGAGGAAACATTTCACGTCTCTGTAATACGTTGATTCCTCCGACGAGTTAAAAAAGTTCAAATGCTTTGGAAATGCCGGCGGCATTAAAATAATTCAAACTATGAAGTTGTTCCTTGTCCGCAATGCTGTTAAAAGTAATACCGCGATTCTAAGGCGTGGTTTTATCGATCATGGCTTAGCGGCACCGACCCCCCCCCCTCCTTCCTCGCGACAGACGAAAGGCGGACATGAACCTTACTATGAGATGGGTGACAAAGGACATGAATGTGCATGCCTTACAATCTGCGTAAGAGTTTACTTAAACCAACATGCAATACCCTTCAAGAACATGGAGTAAAAATCATTTTTCAGTTTGGAATCCCCCTCTCTCTCTATTTCCTCCTCTCTCAGCCGTCTTCTATTTTCCTCCCTCCATGCTCCTTCGTACTCTCCTCCTCTCTTTCACTTCTCATACTTCCTGATTCTTCTTCTCCATACGGAGAGAAAAATTTGCTACATATTGAATATCGACTTTTTTGGTTCAGGTAACTAAAGTTTTCGGTCACGAAAACCGTACGACGGTTCAACTAATGAAATTCGGTTCCTAAAACCGAAAATTTGGTCACTCGAATCAATAATGCTCGGTACTCAATATGAACCGAAGATAAGTTCCTGCACCTGATCTTCTTTTCTCAGTGCTCTATTTTCCTTCTCCTCTTGTATCATTCAAACCATAAGTACAAACGTATAAAATAGTGAAGGATGTATTAATAACTTTCTTGCTTTAGTTTTCATTTATGATGTCATTTTTCTAAAATTATGTCTGAAGTTATGCCCGCACTTTACGTCATTCTGTTTGATACATGCTGTTAAGTACTATTCGATAGTTTTATCGCAATCTTTCTTTATGAGATAAAACCTAGTTCTGAAAAAATCGTCTAAGCCATAGTGCATCGACTGAAGAATTCAACCTTACTGTGTTGAATTGACACTACAGTATTGGGAGAGTGGGTACTCACAATTTTGTGTGAAATCAAGAGAACTTTGGCTAACATGAATGAAAACTAATTTTCTTACTGAACTAAAGATTCTAGATTTTTTCATTGTAAAAAATTCACTACTCGTATCGCTGTGACTAAGTGGGAAACAACGTATCTCCGTTTGTAACGTTGCAGGCTTCCTGTCATCCTCTATTCTTTCTTTGGAGCAATAGTCAACATAATTTCTTGAAAAGTTTTATAATTTTTCTTTTCTGTTGGCAGAGGACCTTGCAAAATTGTAGTGGTGCATTGAAAAGAGATCGTGCTACTTACATGGCAGTATGAGCCCTATCATGAGCAAATTAAGAGTAGCCACTAGCGACGTTTTCATGCTTGGAGTGACACCCAAAGAATGGGTATCATGACGGTCAACACCAGTGCATTCTGGGGTGAATATATCTTCCTTCGTAGCTGCAATTCAGAGCCATCCTCGTCCTGTCAACAAAGTCAAACGAATTAACTTAAAAACATCCGCAAGAACAGGAGCATCATGTGTGCAAATATGAGAATATTCCAAAAAGTCCACCCTTCAGCGAAGGGTTTCCCGTAGCGTTCAAACTACGGAGCGCATGCAAATTCATTCAGATTAAACGAAAGGGGGGATAAAAAAAATACGCTACCTATGCCACAAAAAAGGCTATCCTTCCTGTGACAGGATGTGAGAGAGTATTTTTATTTAATATTAGCTTGGATAACATCAAAAGAATAAAAGGCAATTGAAGTATCTTCCCTCACTCGGAAAGAAGTGCCTGCTTGCTGGCAGCAGAGAAAAATTAGTCCACGCCACGATACTTTCTGCGGGTATTTTCTGCATTGTGATTCAGAAATTTTTCTGAGAGGATTTTTGCACGTTTATAAGATTTTATCGAAGCTCTCTGCTTACCTATCTTGATGCAGAGAATTGAGCTCTCACGATTTTCAATGGATATTTAAACATTTCTACAAGTTTTTAAATGTGAATCGCATGCTTTTGGGAATGATTTTCAAATTACACTCACTATGACACATATTCCAACCAATGCAGAATGATCTGGAGCTAGAGTTTGATGTATAATTCTACGAGCGACAACTTTAACTCTCAATTAGCGTTAATAACATATTCGATAAAATGAAGAAGCTTTAGATGATTCTTCAGCACTGATTTATTATATATCATGCGTACATTTATCCGGGTAAAATGCACTTGCTCTGTGTGTAAGGTTCATTTGATTGGAAAACCCCTTTTATTTGAATAAAAATGAAAATAAAATGAACGGCACTTTTCCTCATTCTCGTCTAGACCTTTGATGCAAAAGATTGAATTAGATTTTTATCGTGAACATGGCCGGATTTATCTACTTGCCGCCCATGGGCCGCCTGTATTTTGCCGCCCTCTTTTCATATTCATTTTGAAACATCAATAAAAACCATCAAGTGAACGTGCCGGAGGGAGAAGGGTGCATAAGATGCGTTCACTCATGTTGGACACATTTTTTGCGTAAGCCCTGTCAACACTATTAGCAAAAGTTCACGGAACTTCGCGCGAAAGTTCAGTTCCGTAAACCTATCTCTGTGTGGAAAAGGCCTTTCATTTGTAGGAAATGAACCAAAAAATTAAGAAAGAACAGACATAAATGTGGTTTAATAATTTTAACTTCCGCCGCCGTGCCGCGCTGACCACACTGTGTTTGGCGCAATGCGTGAAGTATTCATGTAGTCTTGTAGGCACTGTGCGTTTCACGCCGCGCCGACCGCTGTTGACCGTACTGTGTTAGACGCAATGCGTGAAGTATTCATGCAGTCTCGTAGGCGCTAATATGTGTTACATGCCGACCGCCGCGCTGAGGGCTTCTCCTTTCCATCTCAAGTCTTCGTCATCATTTCTCTCTGCGCCGCGCCGCCGCTCCAAGCCAAATTACCTACGTGTTTGGTTTCTTTCTTCACTCAACTAATTAAAGGTGCGCAGTCTTTTGTATCACCGAAATACGACAAAATTAGAAGTTAATGAACTCTCAGGAAATGAGAGGTTTTGTCACTTTTTCTTGTTTGTAATTTGATCTGAATCCGATTTTTTGTACCTGCATTTAAAAAAATTTCAAAATTTGCCGCCCCTTAATTTTGCCGCCATGGGCCGCGGCCCAAGTGGCCACCCCCACCCCCTTAATCCGGCCCTGACCGTGAATAGTTCTCAATACACTGACATGTGTCAGTGCAATGTTGAGCATTCTTCGGCGAGAAATAGAAATCAATATAAAAGTTGAAGTAGACAAAAGCAATGTAATTACATTTTTATTTTCTCTCAAAGATAAGCTCTCTCTTGCTTGTTGGTGCCATAAGGCATTATGTTCTGTTAGCATACTTCATTTTTGTAAATAAACGTGCGTCCGTAAAAATTGGAAACAAAATTTCAGAGAAAATGTTTTTTAGGACATGAACCATGCTCATTGCTAATGACCAGATTGTCGTATTAAAAATATATTGTTTCATAAAATTTAGTGACAAAAAATAGCTGAAAATTTTTTCACAATATTGGTATGCTGAGCAAAATTAATGAGTCAGCACCGGAATGTCAATGGTAAAACCAAAAATACTCATTTTTCGATTGCGCTTTTTAAATATGTCTGCTCCTACTTTATTTTTGTAGAGAGTGCCCACATATTTTTGCACGAAATTTGTAGGGCCTTGTCTCCACGGGACGTTTCGTAGGATTTTTCCCAAGTTCGAATCGCAGGAGTGAAACTTCCGGGATTTTTCCCCGTTAAGCAAAACAACAAAACGTCTTCTTCTTCTCTCTGAGACGCTCTTAGGACTCCACCAGTGGCGTGGCGTGCTTTGCGATACATCGATTGATCTACCATTTAAACCTATAGAAAAAGATCGATTATTAGGGTGTTCGCAGCGAACACCCTAATAATCGATTCTTTACCACAGCTCAAATGGGAAAATATCGGTAATCGATCATTCACGCATCACGTCTCGCCACTGGACTCCACGTGGACTCCACTTGGTACAGTGACTATTATTGACGACTCAATATTTTTCCAAACTTTGGAAATAATATTCTTTTTGAGTAAATATCCCATGAAATGCCCTGTGAAAACAAAGCCTGGTGAATATTCTCGCGAGGGCCAAAAAAACCCGGGAAATTTTGTAAAACAACAATAACTGTCCGTAATTTTTATTATTATTATTAAAATATGTGACTACCGATCCGCAACACACACCACAGACCAAATTCCAATATTTTGTAGAGTCAATCGATATGCTGAAAAAATCATGATGATGATTTGGCAAGAGGAACAAGTGAGAAAAATGAATTGCCTACAAAATATCTAAGCGCGACCCAACAGCGACTCGCACTCAGCCAATACAAAAGCAATACAATTCGACGTGGGGCAAACGTATTTTTTCTCCCCCTCTTGCCAGAAGAAATAGGTTGACATGGACCTTCAATCCCCATCAGAATAACGTGATTGTGTTCTTGTTTGTTTCCTCTTTTCAAAATTGTCGTTTATCACTATCAAATAATAGCACGATCAGTCATTCAACCATCAAAATAGCCTAAAATTGAGCGACTTCCATCAGAAATAAAAGTCCCATCGACATAAACGATGAGTGTTACGTTCGGGTGTATAGGAAGTGCGCACGAAATCATGTCATTTAAGTCTCGACAATGTTTGTAATTTTGATTTTATTGATTGTTCGTTCTCATTTATCATTTCATTTGGCCCTCAGTACCTCACGATGTTATGTTTAAAATAAACGTCATATTAACTATGCACGAAGAAAAATTTCAAACATAGATCCATTGTACTCGTATCACATTTTCTTAATACCCGAGAAAAGTTGATTTTTTCAAAAGAAATAAAAAATTTTAGAAATGGACGAATAATATAGTCGGAGTGTTTTGGAGGGTTTTTTTTTCAAATTATTTTAGACTTAACAAAATTTTATGAAGTCAATCGTTCTTTTGCGGTTTAAATAATATCCGATAGGGACAGAAAGACGAAAATAGAGAAACGTACAACTTATTTAGTTTCACTGATGGGTTTTAACAAAAGTTTGGGTCAGAAAGCATATGTTGAAATGCAACAATGTAATGCTTAATGTGAACTACAAATAATATGAATTTCATTGCTCTGCTCTGTGAGGGCTAACTAACAACATTCTTGGAAATCTGCCATTTTGCTCTTATATTCCTCATACATATTCTCGAAGAGTTTTGAGCAATAATTCTGAAGGTTTTTCCTTGTTTATGCATAAAAAAAATGAATAAAGGAAGCTACAGAGCAATTTTTAAAATTTCAGTCTTCGGCTGTTCATGAAAAACAAAGTCAAAGAATAGTAATCTTACGTTGCTCAATGAAAGAATTAATTACATCATTGTAGTTTTTAAACTTATGCCATTGATTTGCAAATGAGGAAGGTCGCTTTTTTCACAAACTTTCTAGGGCTAAATAAGTTTGGACTTTATTCCCAGTATTTCAATATTCCGGGTACTAGCGGCTTCAAACAGAAATTGCATGTTTAAAAACTTACTTAGGTATGCGATAATTTAGCCAATGGCCAACTTTTATAGGACAGGGCAAGTTTTTATTACTAATTCAGTAAAAATTTCGAGAAATAATTTTCGTGAGTTTTGAAGTCGAGAGTTTTGAAGATTTGGAACTTTTCCGACATGGACATTGCCAAACATGATGTACGCTTTGAAAGGAGCAACATACAGGTATTGCACATCAGAACAGAAATGTCTTGTTTGAAGCATAACTACTATGTCGAAGGCGCTGCGTTTAAGGTGCCCGCCAAGTTATAATTATATGTTTGTGTAACATGATGTACGCTTTGGACGGATCAACACACAGGAATTGCACATCAGAACAGAAATGTCTCGTTTGAAGCATAACTACCATGTCGAAGGCGCTGCGTATTGTTACGTTATATTACTCGCGATGGTCCGAAGTCACGGTGTCAGCGTTTGTGGAGTATTTAGGATATTGCAAAAACATTTATTGATAAACTAACTTTCTTTTGGCTCGGTTGTTTCGACTAAAATCACAAGTTTTGATGAAAACTTGAAAATATTTTCCTTCCAATTTTTCAGAGAAGTCAAGGCGCAACTAATTAAAAGCTCCTGAAAATGTCGGTAAAAAGTATTCATAACTTTCTTTACAAATACACAGCAATAAAAAGTGTGCTAAAAATTTGTCTGGCGAACCCTAGATGATGGCTTGACCGCCCACACATTTAACTTTACATACTGAAAATACAAACATGAGCGACAGTCAGACCAGCGTCCCAAGAGAACAAAACCCATTTTTCACAGCCTAGGCTGTTATCGTGGCATTTTATTTTGCTCTATGTAGGAATTCTATCGAGGAAAATTTGGCAAAAGCCAAATTTTGCGGATCTTCCTCTCAATTTTACGAGAAATCCGGGAATGTTTTCTATCGAATTTT